GCGGGGGGGCGTCGACGCCGTCTGGCCGAGGGGGTGCGGCTGAGACATCTCGCTGGCTGCGAGCAGAGCGAGCATCCCCGCCATGGGATCTTCGGACCCGACGAGCGCGGGGAGCGGCGACTCGGAGGAGGCGGGGATTTGGCCGACGCTTTCCTTGTGACTCGGAGTGTGTCGCTCTGGAGTCGTCGCTTGATGGGATTCGCATTCAAAACTTGCGCCTGGCTGAGCGGATTCCTGACCGTCCGGATCTGCCGCGATGGACGGGGCGTAGCGCATCCGCTCGGGATCCTCGTACGCCGCCGCTTCAGGCTCGCTTCCGTCCAGTGGGGAAGAATACGCGTCGTGACGTTGATATGACCGCATCTCTGTTTTGATTTGTTCTTCTTTTGCTTCCAGCCCGACATCATCCACTCTCGGGCCGCGCTGCGGCGCAGGACGAGCGACCTGCGGAGCTATCGGCTGCAGCTTCAACGGGCCCGCTTCGTCCTGCCCGTTCCGCGGCGTTCCGACGGGACTGCAACTACGCCGGCGAGGAATCAGCGGTTGTGGCGTCGAGTCGAACCGATGCTTTCCCGCAACAGGTTCCTGTATCGGGAAGGACTCGGTCTTTGTCGTCAGTTGTTGTGGTTTGAGTTGGTCGGCATCCAACGGCCTTTGGCGGAGGTGCGCTGAGGGCAAGGAGGGACTCAAGTCCAAAGAGTGCGAGTGGCGCCGTGCAACAGCTTCTTGGTTTGCTTTGGTGTGCGCCGCTGGCACATGATAAGTTGGGACGGGCGCGCCAAAAGGAGTCATGATCGACTGGTAGGCGTAGTCAGGTGAGAGCTCTGCAAACAGAATAAAAAAATGCGTATATCAAATGTTGAGGTCACTTAAAAAACAAAACAAAAAAAATCATTCATGCCGAGCATAATATTGACATTCGAAAGGAGAAAGTCCATGACATAAACGGTGACTTACCCGAATAGATGCCTTGAAAAGCAGACTTGCGTCCATCTTGCCGCTCCCCCCTTTCCACCCGGCCGTCATCGACAGACTCGTCTTTCGGCAGCCGTGGCGACGACGGGGGTGGCGAGGCCGAACACGGGGAGGGCGCGTGCGGCAGCGGCGCCGGCGGGTGAGACGACACCCTCTGCCTCCCTTCTTCCGACTTGAGGTGGGTCACCGGTGAGGGTGGCAGCGGCAGCGGCAGCGGCAGCAGGGTGAGGGACGACGTCGACGGGGTCGGCGAGCGAGGCGTCGGGGACGCCCTGCGGGGCTGCAGCACGGGGGGAGGAGATGGGGAAGATCTTGACAGCGGTCGGAGTTTGGCTTCGGCGTTCGGCTTGTCCGCTTTATCGTCCGTCTCTGCCCGGCGCTCGCTGGCCTTTAAATGCTCCTGAAAACGCACACGAGACGCCGTTTACAAATGTGTTGCTGATTCACAACTTTCCAAATACATTCGATGAGACTCTTACCAAGTTTGCTTCATTTTTTTGGATTGACAACTGTCGTTTTCACTCAATCACACAGATCCAGCGGACACACATTATGCACACATTTATCCCAGATCCTTTTTTTTTTGTCTCCTCTGCTCACTTTGTGCTTAATTTACCAAGATGCCATCCAGCAGGCACTCATTCGTACATCCACTCTGAACAGATTGCACGTGCTGTTGCACCAGATTTTCAGACGCGCTATTAAAAGACGCAAAGGCAGCCCGAGCAATCCGTCTAAGGTTTCACATCGCACATGCTAAATTCATCCGATTGCACATGGTCCTCCCAGAGCAGGCGAGATGAACGGTGCGGCAAAATTGCCACCCCCCCCGCCCACACACACTTTTTTTTTTTTTGGGGGGACATCGGGAATCAGTAGTAAGTCGGGCCCTTGTGTTTTTAAGAGACACAAATGACACTCACGACAAGCTGCGCATTCCTCTGCATCTCCAGAACCTGCGCTGTGTGCTGCTGGATCATGAGTAGCTCCTGTTGCCGGAGCATCTGCTGCTGGGAGAGCAGCTGGAGCTGGGCCGCGTGCTGCAGGGAGGTGCCCGTACCGTACATCCCCGGCCACACGGTGCTCCCGCGCTCCAAGACGTCTCCCCCTGCACAATATAGAAGGGCAACAAAAAGACCCGTTTAAACGTTTATTTATTATATATATTTTTTTTTACATAGGAGAACAACTTTAACACTGTTTGCATTTGAAAAATGCGTTCATACCATAGTGCGGCAAGTGTTCTGTCGGGATGACTATAAGCTTCCCAGTCTGCGAGTCTCTGACAAACTGGTACGGAGGTGGTATGGAGCCTGGTAGGGGCGGCGGGTAGCCTGGGGGAAGCGTCTGGTGAAGGGAGGAAGAGCTCAAGCCTGAGAAGAAACGGAAGGTTGGGCACATGCCGGTGGGATGGGTCAAGGGCGCAGAAGGGAACCAAAAGAGACAGAAAGGCAAACATTTTCTTCACAATGCTCAAAACTAACATTTGTACTGCCATGTTTTTTCATCCAGTATTTATACCCACTATGAGGACGGAACGAGTTCTATTTGGGGGGGGCTCAGAGTGAATTTTGCTCCTTTGGAGAGGATTGCGTCTAGACTGCGAGGGCCCTCGGGGAGCTGCGCACGCCCGCGCGTGTACAGTGGACGTGCAAGCCTGAAGAAATGTGCGCGCGTTGACGCGCTTATTTCTGGACTGGGAATGAGGCATCGGCCCGGAACGTCCTGCAAAGTTCAGGAATGTCTGCGGCACTTGACCCCCGGAGGCGGCGGCTGCTGCTGCGCCAACCACTTGAGAGAAAGCCAACACTTCCCTCTGTTATTACACCAATTGGAGACCGTTACGCAGCCGCACGGAGGATTCCGCAAGCACGTCCTATACGCGAGTGTTAAAAGGAGTCGGACTGTCTTTAGCGCCAGGTGGAATCACTCGGATGACAAAGAGGGCGGCAAGAGATGTTCAGCTGAAAAGGGAAACGCTGGCCCGTTTAACACACCACTTGAAAGGCCAGCAGGAGGGCCTCGTTTACATGTAAAATAGAAACTCATGCAGCTTTCGTGGGTTTTTTTTTTTGTTGTTCTTACAATGAATAAGTGAATAAAAGAATTGGATTTAATAGCAGGATCATATTTTTTCTAAAAATCGGGACAAAGATGACATGAACAACCCATCAAAGCGTCTAATTTGTCTGTCCACATACTGTATGGGGAGCTGGAGAGCCAAACCGGAGGAGCGCCAGGGCGAGGCAGCCAGGGGTGAGAGGTCAGAGTTGATGGGTCGGGATGCCATCGCCCCGCCCCTCCAGTCACCATAAGGTTGGGGGTCATGAGGCTGGTTGTCATCATACTGGGCGTCAAGCTGCTTGAAAGCAGCGGAGGGTGCAACTGGGTGAAGTCGGACAGCTCTTTGGGGTCTCTGCAAAGAAACGGGAAGCAAACCGCGTTAAAAAATAAAAAATTTAAAAAAACAGCGTAAAAGTTGCATGTGGCGGTTTTAAATTGCTGGAAACATGATTTGTCCAAAAAAAAAAAAAAAAGAGAGAGAAGACTGTTAGCCTGTTTCAATCGCCATGCCTGTGAGATGTCCGCCTCACCTGAGCATTTTGTCATCACGTTCCAACCGGCCGGCGAGCATTCGGTCTTCATGATGACGCGAGCGCTCTTCACCTCGTTCTTCATCTATGTTGGCGACAGACAAGTCGGGGTCATATTTAGCGCTTCCTGCTAAAAGATGTGAAGCAACGACGAACGGGGCCGAGACAATTTGGTTGGCCGATGCTCGGCTGTACCGTTTGACAGACTGAGCGCGGCTTCGTTACGCAACACAACAGCAAGGCCGCGTGCACGAGAGGTTAATTAACTGCGGGTCAGTTTGTTGGCCTCAATCTGACCGACCGTTCCAAACGCATCGTCGCGGCGTCGACCTGACAGGATGCGCCGTGTTTTGATGTCTTGCGGCTTCCCGCTGCTCTGCTCTTGCCGCCCATTTGTCACAGCAGTCAAGCCTCAATTCAAACTGGAGGCGGTTTCAAGTCTCGCTTTGGGATATTTACACACTATACATTCCTCGGGACACCCCATTTAATCCCTTCACGAATCAATTCACAGTCGAGCTAAATTACACCTTCACAACAAATTTCAGAGCGCTGACCTTCACTGTATTCGCCCCATTTGGGATGAAGCAGAACAGAGATTGTGAGCCAGGTGCTCTCTCGTGTCCAACGTGGCTAAACATTGTCCTTACAAATGTTCTTCTGCATGGCTGGACCACAATTCCCAGAGATTCACCAAAATCTTTTGAGAGAGTCTTGCCAGGAGAGGGCCAACGCTTCTCAAAGTACAATTCTTACACAAGATAAGAAAATCTTTATTTGTCTCACAATGAAGAAATTCCCAAATTGACGGCAGCAAAATGAGGAATTATGAAACATACTTCCTTCAACATTTGTCTCTTTCGATGGCTAACAGGAGACCAATGAGATAAACCAATCGTCAACAAAAGACCGGGATAATCCAATTCAAACAAATTCTGTCAAACTAACTGCAGCAATTTTCAGTGAACAATGACATGTTTTGAAATCGCGCAACAGGACACGCCATCTCTTGTAGACAGTCCTACTTTGGTTCCAAAGTCGGCTTTCCGGTCTGTCGACCTTCACGGCGAGTTAGCCGAGTGTCGCGCGAGATTAGCCGCTGCCTGGACGCACGGTGAACTTTAAACCGAAAAGTTTCTAAAGCTAGCGCAATTCAGCGGGGCAATGTCCTCACTCTATCGAGGAAAGAATAAACATGAGGATCTCTTTGCACTCTCGCCCTCCACCCAGCCGAGCTGACTCAAGGTCCCCGAGGTACAGAGATGGAGAGAAAGGTTTTCATAGGACTGTGCCGAACCATTCAGAGCGAGAGAGCGAGAGAGAAAATGTATGTGTAGGGACAAGAGACTTTAACCAACCCTGACATGCTCCGCAGGAAAGATTTCAAGACCGTTACCAAGGTTACAAGGAGCCTGGCCCACATGCTATCCTCCTCTTGTGCATCACAAAGCCAGTGATTAGCCACCACCTTTCCTCCCCGGCTCACCTCTCTTAATACTCACTTTCTTTACATCCCACGAGAGCTCTCTCTTCCCATCTATCCGCCTGTCAACCATCCCTGCATCCACACCTCCTCCTGTTGTATTTTTTTCCACAGCAAATCCTCAGCTGTTTGTCAAGAGCCGCTTTTTAAAAAGGGGGCCGTTTGAGAAATCGGGCTACTCCACCCCCCCCCTCGCCGGCAAAGAAGAGACTAAAGGCCTCAACCGGGGATGGACGTGCATACGCAACCACATGCTAATAAACACTCCATGAGTCATCTATTGTACCTCTCGTCGTCTTTCACACATTAACAAAGTCCATCACTCGGGAGGCTCATCATCGCTTAGCAACTAACCAATGGCCTTATTGTCATTCAAGGCTTATTTGTAGCTTTTCGCCGCACTCTTGTGATGCCATGTTTAATGCGGAGTGGGTGGAGGTGAGGCTGGGAACTGTAGGCAGCCCACAAGCTGCAGAAAAGAGCGAGGAGAAAGCGAGAGAGAGAGAGAGAGAGAGGGGGGGGGGGCTAAGGGGGGACAAGGAGGGAGGGCTTTGCCAAATAACTCAGAAGTCGAGGCATTGAAGGAAATCACAAGAGAGCAGAGGATGAAAAAAAAAAAAACAACCAAAAAACAAAACACTTGGAGCCGTGACAGACAGGAAAGAGACATTTAGAGAGAGACCGAAAGAAGCCCGACGACAGAATTGTGTAGAAGGAGAGCCAAAACGGACTGGTCGAAATGAGCCTAACGACAACATGCATCACGTGACGCGATGAGCAATCCGGACAAAAAGATGTCCAATCACGTTACGGGCACGAATGCCAAGTCAAACAGAGCTGAGAAAATATGACTTTGAGCCAAAGGAAAATGAATCATTATTAATTCATCCAAAGCAAAATGAGAAATGATTTGCTCTTGGTTCATTTTAATGAAGTCGGGCCGAGTTTCCCGCAGTATCACTGCGAGGGGGCTGCAAAAGGAGCGTGTGATGGGAAGGCAAAAAGAAAGTTGATGGGGGAAATATCCCACACGTATCCGATGGAAATTTTGCCAGACGGGGTCGACACGTGATCGGAAGTGACTAATTGTCGATGAACAGGTGTGGAAAGGGAACAAATGGTTTGGCCCCCATCTCGCGGCAAAAAAAAAAAAAAAAAAAACAACAACAATCATTACCTTTAATAGCTGTCAGGGGTCTCTGGGAGTCTGAGGATCCGCTGGTCTGCTTACTGCTGGTGCTCTCTCTTTGGCGGGCCACAGCGACGGCGATGCCAACCGGAGGGTGGCGCACCTCGCCCTCAATCTCTCGACCGAAGGAGCGGGCGCTGTCGGGTCGATCCTGTTCCCTTTTCAGCTGGGGGGGCACCCTCAATGACCCGGAAGCACTTGAGCCCACAACCGACCTCTCTCGGTCTCTCTCCCGCTCTCGATCGCCGACCATCCCGATGCTGGCCAAACCTCCGAAGGGCCCTCGGTTGTCCGCCGCGAGCCTGGAGGAGGCGGCGGGCCCCTCGGCGGCGAAATTGCCGCTGTATTTAATGAGGCTCTGCATGGCCGACACCTCCGAGGGCGCGGAAGCTCTCTCCACCCCGGCGGACGCTCCCGGTCGGTAAAGGGTCGACGGGTCCAAGTAGAGTCTCTGACTCCCCTCCTCGCCCGCGCGGCTCTGTCCGTGCTCGGTGGCGTGCGTTTGCGGGGAATGCCTGTGCGCGTTAGCGGCGGGCCGGTTGGTCGTGTGCGGGGAATGGGAAATCGGCGTGTGCGACGGCTGACTGTGCGGAGAAGAAAGCGCGTGTCCGTGTTGGGCCGCGAGGGCGGCCATGTGATTGGTGGCGTAGCTGCTCAAAGGACTGATGGAATTCCAATTTTTGTCCGCCCCGGCCCGCTCGAAGCCCAAACGACTTGAGTGTTTGGACATGTCCCGGGCTTCGGGGCTAAACCGCGATTGATTGGAAGAGTGAGAAGAATCCTGGCCTCGTTTGCCAGCAGAACCGTTGGAACAAATGACAGAACCTTCCTCTCGATGATTGCTCGAGTCGCCAGGCTGGGAAAGTCGAGGATGTTCGATCAGGCCCCTCTCAGGAAACCTGTAGCTTTCCCTTTCCGGCTCTTTATCATTCTCTCGCTCTCTGTCTCTGCATTTGTCGCCGTGCTTGTCGCGGGCCTGCGATGCGATCTGGATGGGCCCGACCCGCTCGTCGTAAACCTCCACAGAAGGCACGTACGTCGGCGC